GCTGGACCGTCCAGGGATGGAGTCTCCATTTTCCGGGGAGTGCAGCTCAAGACAGCTCGTCAGCTGCACGGTTGTGCAGGCCCGGAATGTGAATGGCACGAAGCGACCTCATATTCTTCTGACTCAAAAGGAGGAGGTGGCGGGCGAGTTGCGACATACGACGGGAGCGCAGACCACCTTGTCGGTTGATGTACGCAACAGTCACAGTGTTGTCCGTACGGACCAGTACGTGCCTGTCTTGTAAACGCCCTCTGAGATGGTTCAAGGCAAGGTGCACTGCTAACAACTCGAGGCAATTGATATTCCATTGCAGTTGGGGGCCCGTCCACACCCCCAAGAATGCTTGCCCGTTGTACGTGGCACCTCAGCCGGTGGTGGAGGCATCTGTGTGCACCACAGCATGCCTTGAGACCTTGTCTAGGGGCACTCCTGCACGAAGAAACATGAGGTCTGACCACGGTGTGAAGGTTTGGAACAATTTCAGAGGCTCCTGGGGCATATGGCAGCTGCTTCGGCAGTTACGCTGTTGGGGTTGCTTCATATGAGACTGCTTCAGCACTGGCTTCATGGCCGAGTCCTGAGGTGGGTGTGACTTGGACCCGTTGAGTGCCACGCTGCCACACCCACCTCAGGACTCGGCCATGAAGCCAGTGCTGAAGCAGTCTCATATGAAGCAACCCCAGCAGCGTACCTGCCGCAGCAGCTGCCATATGCCCCAGGAGCCTCTGAAATTGTTTCAGTGGGACCGCTGTCCTACCTTTGAACAAATTCAAGCAACTCAACACCGACTGAGCAAGTTCCTCTGTGAGGCGTGCTGTCTGTTCAACCAAATCCAACTCGATACCGAGAAAAGAGATCCTCTGCGTCGGGAAGAGTTTGCTCTTTTACCAGTTGACCCGAAGGCCCAACAGGCTGAGGTGCCTGAGCACCAAATCCCTGTGCTCACACAACTGATCCCGAGAGTGTGCTAGTATGAGCCAGTCGTCGAGATAGTTGAGGATGCGAACCCCCTGCTCTCTGAGGGGAACAAGAGCTTTCGTGAAGACACAGGGGGACAGGGACAGCCCGAAGGGCAGGACCTTGCACTGATATGCCCGTCCCTCGAACGCGAACTGCAGAAAGGGTCTGTGGCACGGAAGGATTGAGACATGAAAGTATGCGTCCTTCAGGTCAATTGCTGCAAACCAATCTCTGGGGGACGGATGCACCTGAAGATGCGTTTCTGCATTAACATCTTGAACGGTAGCCTGTGAAGGGCCTGGTTCAAGACACGCAGGTCCAAGAGTGGTCGTAACCCACCACCTTTCTTGGGTTCAATGAAGTAGGGGCTGTATGCCCCTGAACTTGGGGGGACGCCGGGCGAACTGAATCGTGTAGCCGAGTCTGATGGTCCGAAGGGGCCAGCAAGACGGGCTGGACAGCACCAGCCAGGCTTTCAGATACCGTACAAGTGGGACCAGCGGAACCACCGACGTACGCGCAGTGGGGGAGCGAGTTGGAACGCAGGGACCCGGCTCGGGCAGCACAGAGGAGGATGAGTGTGATCCGGCTCTGGATTGTCCACAACTCTCCGTGACCTTTTGAGACCCAGAAATAGAGGAAATTGCTCTTTTGTTGAGTGTTTTGGTACCACCGACCGAGAGGTCAGTGGCGGGATAAAACAAAATGAAAGATTCTCTGCCTGGCCCTCCTCCGGGGGAGGGAGGGGTGCGTTCACCATCTCCTGAAGAGCAACTCCCTCCATCTCTGTGTCGCCCCCGTCTCAGGGCCACCCAGAGACGGGCGCCACCTTCCGCTTGCCACCAGGACGGGCGGGGCGGATGCCCTGTGACTGGCTCCATGGTGCTGCTTAGTTGGAGGCTGCTGTGGCGCGGGAGCGGGGGCGGTCGCAGGGGGACGCCCTCAGTGACGAGCAGGCTGAGGTGCTGCGGCCAGGTGGAGGCAGCAGCTGCCCGCCGGGGCAGGATATGTCGAATCGCCTCAGTCTGCTTATGTGCAGCTGAGAACTGCTGTGTGAAGCTCTCGACTGCGTCGCCAAAGAGGCCGGTCTGGGACACAGGGGTGTTAAGGAACCGAACTTTGTCGGCGACCCTCATGTCGGCCAGACACAGCCAAAGATGGTGCTCCTGGACCACATGCGTGGGCATCGCATGACGCAGAGAACTCGCCGTGACCTTCGTCGCTCGGAGCGCAAGGTCAGTTGCGGTTCGGAGTTCTTTCAGAACTTTTGGATCGTGACCACCCTCGTGCAGGTCCTTCAGTGCCTGAGCCTGGTGGACCTACAGTAATGCCATGGCATGCAGGGTGGAGGCAGCCTCTCCACAAGCCGCATAAGCACCGCTGGTCAGACCAGATGAGTGCTTACAGGCCCGGGAGGGAAGGGCCAGTTTGCCCCGCCAGGTGGAAGCGGTACCAGGACACAACTGCAACGCTACCGACCGCTCCACCGGGGGGATCTCCGTATACCCCTTGGCTGCTCCAGTGAGCTCCTCATGCACCTCCGGGAAGAATGGCACCGGAGTGGGGTGCTGAGAACCAGCACGGGCCACCAAGAGAAACCAGTCATCCAACCTCGAGGGCTTGGGACGCGGTGGAGGTTTCCACTCGAGCCTTACCCTCTCGGCGGCATGGGAAAGCATTGCCATCATCTCCAAATCCGATTCAGGCCTGGCTACCGTCCCAGAAGGGCATCCAGAAACGCACAGGTGAAATGCCATCTTTAAAAAGACGTTCACCCGAGCCTGTAGTTTGCACCCACTCAACGAAGGTCGACCAACCCGCTGTCGCTCCGTAACACCCGCACAAAGAAGCTCCTTTGAGAGCGCTGACTCGTTCGACACACGAAGGCTTGGCAGGAGCAGAATGATAACACAGCTCGGCTCCGAAGCAAAAAGCTGATTATGCGCTGCACCGGCTGCCTACTTATACTCACACTGTGATCAGCGGCAGCTGGATGCAATAATCGCATGCCAATGTGCATTGGCTTGTTTAGTTTACACTCGAAGTGGATTGGTCTCTCTGGCGAGATTCCCAATTTGTCGGTCACTGACGTGATGTCGAGAGTGACCTACTGAAAGGGAACCAGAGTCTCTAGCTAAGGAGAAAAATCTAAGCACAGTGTTTTATGTTGTTGAGATCTTTTCTAAAGCTTTAAAGGAGACAAATGTGAGACCACCAGAGTCTTTAGACTAGGAGAAATATCTGAGCACAGTGTGTGATTTTGGTGAGATCTCTTCTAAAACTTTAAAGGAGACAAATGTGAGACCACCAGAGTCTTTAGACTAGGAGAAATATCTGAGCACAGTGTGTGATTTTGGTGAGATCTCTTCTAAAACTTTAAAGGAGACAAATGTGAGACCACCAGACACTTTAGACTAGGAGAAATATCTAATTTCTGTCTAGGACAAATATTTGAGATGTTAAAGAGATCTCACTTGTGATTGTTCTTTTCTATGGGAAGGACTATGAGACTAGGGTGTAAACGATTAAATAAAACAGAGAAAAACATTGATTTTTGTGGCATTTTGCTATTTTCATTGCAATGTATATAATCAAACTCAAAAGAGAATGAGTGAGTAAACAAGTCAGAGGATGTGCAAGAAAAAAAGTGATCCACATCCCATGAGCTGCAGGCAGAGTTGTTTATGTTGTTTATGCTTTAAAACAGGGGTGTCAAACTCAGTTCCGCAGCCCTGCAGAGTTTTGTTCCAACCCTGCTCCAACACACATACCATGTTGTTTTCAAATAAGCCTTAAGGACTGGATAAGTTGGATCAAGTGTGTTTAATTAGGGTTGAGTCTGAACTCTGCAGGGCTGTGGCCCTCCAGGAACTGAGTTTGACATCCCTGCTTTAAAACATCGTTGAGAGCCCTTAGCTCCTGAAATCACTGCTTATATCATTCTAGCTTAGTTTTATCATCACTGGTTTTGTTTAGATTGTTTCTGACTGGTATATGGAAAATCACAGTGTTGGAGTGTGTACTTTTTGTGGTTAACCTTACTAACAATTAACACACAGACTTGGTCCTAAATGCCATTAAACATGAAAAATTCTAAATAAATGCACCTTTGATTATAAGGTGATCTGTATATGAACAGAAATTGACAATGATATCAAAACCACTATAGAAGCGCTGCTCTGTTGGGTATGAGTTGTTTATTCAGTTGCTATTCTATTAGCTTGTGTTTGAGAGTGTGTTTTTTCAATACTGTTTGTTTGCCAGTAACTTTATTCTGTATTTGTTCAGATCGCTACACACAGTGGATTCTCCCAGATGGCAGAATGAGCGACATCCCTGCTTTAAAACATCGTTGAGAGCCCTTAGCTCCTGAAATCACTGCTTATATCATTCTAGCTTAGTTTTATCATCACTGGTTTTGTTTAGATTGTTTCTGACTGGTATATGGAAAATCACAGTGTTGGAGTGTGTACTTTTTGTGGTTAACCTTACTAACAATTAACACACAGACTTGGTCCTAAATGCCATTAAACATGAAAAATTCTAAATAAATGCACCTTTGATTATAAGGTGATCTGTATATGAACAGAAATTGACAATGATATCAAAACCACTATAGAAGCGCTGCTCTGTTGGATATGAGTTGTTTATTCAGTTGCTATTCTATTAGCTTGTGTTTGAGAGTGTGTTTTTTCAATACTGTTTGTTTGCCAGTAACTTTATTCTGTATTTGTTCAGATCGCTACACACAGTGGATTCTTCCAGATGGCAGAATGAGCTTTTTTTTGTAGTCTTTTGATATTTAATTACACTATTGTTTAAAAATTTGGGGTCGGCAAGTTTAAAAAAAATAAAAATTAATACTTTATTCTGCAAGGATGCATAAAATCAAGCTAAAGTTACAGTAAAGAAAAGTATAATGCTACAAAAGATGTCTGTTTAAGCTTGTCTTTTTGGGAAGGATGCAAACAAAAGGCTTTTTAAATTAACATTGTGTTTTTCCCTTCTCATTTGTTTTCCCTGTTCTCTCTTTCCTTCAGTGGGTGGCATTTGCCTCGCTGTTCTTCATACTGGTTTCCATAACCACATTCTGCCTGGAGACACACGAGGCCTTCAACCCCATCATTAACCGCACATATATTAACCCTGAAGACAACAGCTCCAGGTTTCACTTGGAGACAGAGACGGTGGTCTACCTAACCTACATCGAGGGAGTGTGTGTGGTGTGGTTCACCTTTGAGTTCCTCATGCGTGTCACTTTCTGTCCAGACAAAAAGAAATTCATCAAAAACACCCTAAACATCATAGACTTTGTGGCCATCCTGCCATTTTACCTGGAGGTGGGCCTGAGCGGCCTGTCTTCTTCTGAAGCGAAGGACGCTCTGGGTTTCCTCAGAGTGGTGAGATTCGTTCGGATCCTCAGAATCTTCAAGCTGACGCGACACTTTGTGGGCCTGCGCGTACTGGGACACACTCTCCGCGCCAGCACCAATGAGTTCCTCCTGCTCATCATCTTTCTGGCGCTCGGAGTGCTCATCTTCGCCACCATGATCTACTACGCCGAGCGAATCGGTGCCAATCCCAATGACCCACGTGCCAGCGAGCACACCCATTTCAAAAACATCCCCATTGGCTTCTGGTGGGCTGTTGTGACTATGACCACACTGGGCTATGGAGACATGTATCCTCAGACTTGGTCAGGCATGTTGGTGGGCGCACTGTGTGCTCTGGCGGGTGTGTTAACCATTGCCATGCCTGTGCCTGTCATCGTCAATAACTTTGGGATGTACTACTCTCTAGCCATGGCTAAGCAGAAGCTACCAAAGAAAAAGAACAAGCATATTCCCCGTGCGCCCCAGCCGGGCTCACCTAATTACTGTAAGTCTGCCATGAACTCGCCCCACCACAGCCCACAAAGTGACCACTGCGCTCTTGCTGCCCAGGAGGAGATTTTAGACATGAACAGAGCAGGTAGGAGGCTTGTTTAAGTAATGCCCTTCTGAATTAATGTCATAGAATCAGAAATGAGATTTAACTCACCTTTTCTTCCCTTCCACCTCACAGTCTTTCTAGACCTGCCTGAAGTCACACATGTAACCGGTTTTCAAAATCCCTCATTTGAGAATTGTTCAAATGCAGCTCTACCATCTGGAGACATTATAAAATCTCATCGCACTGCATTCTTAACAAAGATGCGCGTAGAAACAAACACACGTCCTCACCATGGTTGCATAACGACTAATACCCCATGCAACATTTTGCATATCTATATGTTTTTCCATCAGACTCCTGTGAGGATAAATTATATCCACCCAGACAAACAGGAGCACACTCATTCAACAGCTTGCTTTTGTATTTGTCTGTCAGCTCGGCTTAATTACATTCTACTTATATATCAATAAACAATAGTTTTTATTTGCTTTTGTTACCTTAATTTCCATAAAAGCTTGCCCAGACAGTGACTCTTGCTGTGAACAAACATTTGTTTTTATATAATGTTTATATTTTTATGCAGTTAATGTGTATATTTGTGTTTGTAGCTTATACATTGTGGAATGTTTTTTAAATGTATTTTATTTTTATTTTTTGGTAATATAACTTTTTAGAAAATAACTAGATTTAAACGGTACTTTTTAATACAATTAATCAAATATAAAAATAATTATTAGTTGTAGTCCTAAAGTAAAAATTTGGCCAAAAAAGAAAATGATGGCCACAAAAAAAGCAAAAAGAGTTTGATTTTGTGCAACATTATGTACATAGAAAAGGTGTAAAATATAAACGTTACATTTTAGAAAAAAAAGTTTGTCCACAGTTTTAAACACACCCATGCATTTAGGGTGTTGCATGAGCTTCTGATTTACTTGAGAGGGCAATCAGAACGACCAGCTAAAATCTGAGGTGTATTAGTTAGTATTTGTTGTAGCTGCAGAAGTGTGGTGTAGTAAACAGCTGTGATTTTGGAACTACTACTATGTTGTGAACCATACACTCATAATCAGTATTCATAATTTCTCATGTTGGTTTGAGTTCAGTTTTATGGTCAAATTAAAAAGTCAAAAGCAGTGAATTTGTGTCAGCCACACACTCACATGTGGATGTGACACAGTAAGAGGGCCTGACCAGTATAAATAAGATATTTCAACCCACTCCACTCGGTCCTCAGCATTCTTCACACGAGTAAGTGGTGGTGAGTGCCTTCATTTGGAGCACTCATTTAGAGACTGGCTGTAAAAGAGAAGTGAGGAGATGGGCTTTTTGGCTGTGTCTGATCAGACTGGGTAAAGAATTTCTCATTAATGTGTGAGAGTAACTGTGAGTGACTCCTTCATAAGTCTGACTGGAGGGATTCCCCCACTTTTAAATGCTATAATAATAAATTTAATCAAGCTTTTTGATGTCAAGAACCACCAAATATTATGAACCGTTTGTGATGATGACACTCTGAAATATAAAGCTAAAGGTGGAAAAGAAAAACTCCATTGAAAGGTATAGCAAAAGTAAAAAAAAAAACACGAAGCAATGTCTAAAAAAAACACACAAAAAAACACAATATATCTCCCCCATAAACAGAAATAAATATATGTGATATTTGAAACTTTTTTTGTATCATGTAATAATATTAAAATAAGTAATAAAAAAAAAAGTTAAAATGATTGCCTTGTTTATAATTGCATTTAATTTAGCTAACAGTTAACAAAAAAAATAAAAATAAAAAAAATAAAAAATAGGAGTTTGGGGTAAGTACGATTTATGTTTGAAAGAAAATAATACATTGTTCAGCAATGAATCAAAAGTGACAGTGAAGACATTTGTAATGTTACAAAAGATTCATTAATATTCAAAACATTAGACAAGCTTACTAACATAAAAGTTTTGAACAGAAGAGTAGATGTTGTTAAAAAAAAAATCTAATCTTTCTTAAATTTTTTGTGGACCCCCATTTGAAAATCCCTATATTAATCCAGTGTGAGTAGATGGCCAAATGGTGCTTTCCATTGATCATAGGACTCAGGATCATTCCATTGGTGTGAGAGTTTGTGACAAACACTAAACTTTGAGAACTCACTCAGTGAATAATGAAGTATGTCAGCTATTTATACAAGTTAGAAAAGGAGAGTCATTTCTATAGTCTTTACTTGTGTGATCATTCTGTCCAGTTAAAAACAAAGCTTTGAATGTGAAAGGATTGGTAATGCCTTCTGTTTTCACACAATCTCTTTATTATTTCATTCTCTGTGTTTTTACACTGCACTAGAGCCTGTTGCTATAGCAACAGTGTCCATGCAACCGCACAATAGGAATCGCACTCTGCAATGAGCTGCAGTCATTCACTCGCCTTGCACGACTCCTGTGCTATTCACACGGTACAGCAAACACACACACCTCGCACACACAATTAGATGGTCTGAGGATGAATACAGTATAAATCAATACGTGACCTACTGTTAATTACTGCTCAGGTTTTTAGGGGATAAAATGTCTCTGGATGTTTTAGTGGTTCATCTGATTCATCTGTAATGTTTAGATGAGACAAACAGAGACACATCATTGATAATGAATTCAGTAAAATTTTGGATTCATTGCCAGTTGGATTGAAAATATAAAATAATAAACTATACAAAAAAAAAAAAGATATTCTTCCTGTCCTTTCTTCTCTCTCCCTCTCTGTTCAGCGCAGCCTTTCTAAATCTCTCTTGTAAATGAGTTTACAGATGGCACAAAGGCCTTGATTATCAGCTCCATCCATTTGACTTTGGGCAGAGAGCCGTAAGAATCAACAACACAACGGAAACAAGCCGCAACACAGCGAAATTAGCACAACATAACAGAGCCGCAACACAACGAAATTAGCAAAACTCAACGAAATTAGTCTTATGCGTTGTGTTGTGGCAATTTCGTTGTGTTGTGCACTACTGGGCCACCGCAATATATATATATATATATATATTTATATATATATATATACAGTTAAGATTAAAATAATTTTATATACATCATGTCTTCATGAGCATAATTGAAAGTTTTTTTTTTTTTAAGTTGTCCATAAGACCTTCAATTGTCCTCAGTTTGAAAAGATGGATCTCATTTGGAGTTTGAGAGGATGAACATTCACTTTTGGGTCCTTTAAGACACATAGCTGAATTCAGGTTATTCAGTGGCCACAAACCCAGAAAAGTTTTGGAAGTGAGAAGTGAGAACGTCTCACATCTGTAAACCAGAAATATGGATGCCAAACTGCATACTGAGACAACTAGTATTTCAAGTTGGTCCTGCACACGCTACACAGATTTATTGCAAATGTGCCTGTCACTACATTACTTTTTCAAAGGTGAATTTGGTTGTAGAATGTAGTTGGAATGCCCACTAATCCATAAACAACTGTACAGTACAACATAAAAAGAGTACTGACAACCATATTTGCATTAGTATGTGGCCAGTCTCTGAGCTGGTGCTTGAGGTTGTTTATCACTTCCTGCTGTTATTCATATCATAGGGCTGAGAGCTGAGGAGAGGAAAAATGAGGAGAGTGCTGAAAGTGAGGGGGATGATGAAGAGAAAGAGAGATTTGAGGGTGTTCAGGGCCGAAATAGCAGTGAGAGCCGCTCTTTTCAGTGTAAACTGTGGCTGTATGGTAAAGTATTGTGGTTCTTATGACTTGAGCTCTATATTTTAAGTCTTTTGTGTGAGGAACAGACTCCTTGGTGCATTCATCAGGATTCAGGAACTATGATGCCCGATTCTTGAACAAATTGTTCTTTTGAACATTTCCAGTGAACGAGTTGATCCAGTTTCAGTTTGTTTAGCACAAATCTTTTTTGTTGTTTTGCTAGACTTAAAATATAATGCATAAGTTGTATGGACTACTATACCGATGTCTTTAAAATACTTTTACTATGCCTTTCAAAGCTTTAGCTCCATTCCCCATTCACTGTAATTACATGTTAAACTGTTTCCCACAGTTAGTTACACAGATTTGGAAGAACATGAGGGTGTGTAAATGATGACAGAATTTTCACTTTGTTTTGGGTGAACTATCCCTTAATGAAGGTATATTTTGTAGAGTCCCAATGTTAATATAATTTGTAGTGTATATGTGTGCATGTTGTACTATCTATCAACAGACCATAATGAAATGTAGCCACTGTAATATTACCAATAGGACTCATGTCCCATTTGAATAACCACAAAGTTAAAGCCTGCCATAGTTGCTGATAGATGCTCTTTTGTTGACAGTAATACGTTAGCAATAAGAGCGTGCTTGAATCAGTGTTGGCGATACAATGGAAAATCCAGGTGGGAGATATGATAGTTCCCAGAGCTTTTTCCCCTGAGGAGCTCTGGCAGCACTCTCCCTTCTCACAGGTCTGATCGATGAGGTGTAAATCGAGTGAGCAGAAGCTTCTGGCTGCCAGAGAGCTCACAAGTGAACAGGCTGGTTGCCATGAGCTGTTTCTATATATTACGCCGTGGCTAGGAGCGATAATTCAATGCTCCTCCCTCTTTCTTTGGAGCAAAACCAGAGCTGCACCCTACTGTTTGGTCAAATGAAGTGCTGAAAATAAAAGAGGTTTAGGTTTTTGCAGTACTAGGAGGTTTTTTACGTTAACCAATGCATAACTAAATGTATTCTCATACAATTCATATGTGGGTAAAAATGTGGGATGCAATTCAATTATATTATTTACATTTATGCATTTTGCAGCTATTTTTATCAAATACAAAACAAAATGACTTATATTGCATCTAAGCTATATCAGTTTCCTTTGGGAAATGAACAATGACATGTTGCTAGCACCATGATCACAAGATGCAAATAATAATTTGAAAATTTTAATGTAATTTGGTTGATAATTTAGATTAGGTATAACAGATGGAAAATTATGGGGAAAAACATTCTGCAAATGGAAACTAGGGATATTTAATAAAAACTATTTTTAGTATTTCTATATACATACTGTGCATAAATTGCATATTAAATATGAAGATGATCAAATACAACTTAAATTCTTGTGTTTTTATTTATTTATTCATTCATCCATCCATCCTAATCAGTGAAAAAAAAGCATGTGTAGTAAATTTAGTGGTTTTCAGACATTTTTAATTTTTAGAGAGTAGTTTCCCAGAAAGGTTTAGGCAGCATAGTTAAAATATGACCAGAACTACTAATACAATACTGTGACCAGAATAACGTGTTAATATTAATTTTGCTGTTGAATGAGTGTGCTCACAACCCAAACATTTACATCCATGTCACTAGAAGGGCTTCCCTTTACGTTCTCTTGCCTCTTCTCTCTGTCCTGCACAAGCCCTCTCTTTCATCAGTCTTGGTGTTTCACCATGGCTACATGTTCTTCTTACATGTGCTTGTGTGTTTGAAGATCCCAAAGTGAATGGTGAGGCAGCTAAAGCAGCGCTGGCCAATGAAGATTGTCCCCACATAGACCAAGCCATTTCCCCTGAGGACGGCCAGATCTTTAACCCAAGCGAGCCACGGGGAGACACTCCGTGTTTTCTGCTAAACGTCGGCAGACGATCCACAAACACGGGCACCCGAGTGAGGAAGGGTATGTAACTGCTGTGTGAGGCTATTGCCTGACACACACAAACACACACACATGCACAGATGTAAATATCAGGTGCATTACACAGTAAATAAAGACAGTCCAAACATACAGACAAGCAGAGCGCGCCCACAACAGACAGTTTATAATAATGCAGTTTAATAACTGCAGTTAAAGACCAGATTTGTACTTAAATGTCTAGCTCAGCCATCTCAGATTTTAGTCAGATGGGCTCAAAAACGTCATCTTTTGTTGAAATTTTGACTTCCATTAGTTCTTTTATTATCTTTCAAACACTACCGTCAGCAGACCCTTCCCTGCACGCTCAGATCCTTCCACAAGTCACATTTCTCCAACCCTCTTCTCTTTTAACATATTGTAAATTAATTTTTTCCACACCACGCTGCATTACATCAAACTCATATTAACACACATACAACTGCCTCCTGGGGCCAACCTTAATCTTCCCTTTTTTCTGTTTTTCTTTGTTGTTTGTTTGTTTTTTACTTGTTTCTTCCACCACTGTACATGCCTGTGGTCTGTCTCTATGTTTGTACCTTCTTCCATCTCTCCCTCTCTCCCGTCTTCCTTATGCTACCCGATTGGCTCATAGCTGGAATTTTCTCAGGGAGGTCAGGGGCGGAGCCGGCCGGCCTGACGCATGGCACACAGGGTTACCCTCTGCTGCAGCTAGGCTGGGCGCACAGCCCAGAAGACGGCCATGCCAGGGTCACCACCTGAGATCCATGCCTGTTTCGCTGTCATACGCTCAAACCGCTCACAGCAGCCTTAGATAAATAAAAAGCCCCTACACGCTATGTAACTTTACAGTGAGCGTGATTTCACCAAGTACAACATGTTCCTGGATCAACATCCTTGTTGATCCTGGAACATCATTCCAATCAACCAATCAGAATTGAGAGATAACTTTTCAGGAAATTTCAGTTTTAGACTTATAATCAGGATTAGGTGCTTCTACACCCTTGTTAATCAGCTATCATTTCCCTCTGATTTTAGGAATAAATTATGGGTAAGTTTAGGTTTAGGGGTAGGGATTGGGTTAAGTCTGTATTTTAGGACAGTAATGTTGATCCAGGATCAACAAAAGATGTTGATCCAGGAACATGTCTTACTTGGCAAAATCACGGCGACCGTAGCTTTACAGGCTGTCAATTAACGTCAGCAAATGTAGTGTTATAAAAACAAACACACGTTCATGTTATCTCACACCTGTTCTAGTTTGACCCATGACCCAGCCGGTATGAATAGACTAAAGATGACCTTTCCACAATAATTACACCACTGACAGCGATGACATAAACTGGCCGTTTCTGATCACATTCAAAAGAATATCCTGCTATCATCCACCAATTTGTCATGTGATCATTTTCTAACCAATAGCGCTGTCTGTCTGTGTCTTATGACATGTTGCTCTGTGTGAGCATGCTCTGTTTGACTTCAGATCTTACCCATAGCCAAAAGCACCACAAGATGGTCAACATCATCACCAAGCAGAACTACACACACTGTTCCCAACAAATATGTGTTTTTGTCTTTGTGTGTTCTACTGTATGTGTATGTGTAATTTTATGAGTGTTTTGAGAGATGTGTGTGTGTGCATGCAGTGCTTCAGAGTGCACTGTTATTTTTTCTGTAGCATTATGTTGTGCATGTGTTGGGGCAGTCCTGCGACCTTGCTGCACAATCTGTCCTGATGCCTGTATGGTATTGGATGAGAAAGTGAAGACTTGGTTTTGCACAAAGGCAAAGAATATGATGGTGTAGATATGCCACTGACATATGTGACATGCTCTTTCATTTCGAGTCGAAAGTCCCAATAAGCCATTAGTGGAGAAATGTGATAACCAAAAAAAAAAAAAACCTTTTAGGTTTTCTGTTTTGTTGTTTTAGAAATAATAAAACAGTCTCTGCTTTCAAATTATATCAGTTTTATTATGAAATTCAACAATTCTCCCCTACCTCAGTTCAAACAGCAGCATAAATGCATGTGAACTGATCTTCTCTTAATTTTTAATAGTGAACATGAATGAACATTAGAGGGTATTTTGATACAGTAATTGTCCCTTAAGTAATTGTCTAATACATTTTTAAACCATGGAAAGGCATCAATGAAATGGCTTGTTTCACTTAAAGGGGTCATCGGATGCAAAATTCACTTTTGTTGTTGTTTGAACATAAATGTGTGTTGGAAGTGTGTGTACACATCCACCCTATAATGATAAAAATCCACCCAGTGTTTTTTTTTTTTAAATCCCTATTTTAAAATCCTCTTTCTCAAACCAGGCCGTTCTGAGATTCCTGTCAGAATGACATAGTTCTGCACAGTCCCCTCCCACGGTAGTTGATTGACACGGCCGTCTTACCTTAGACCCGCCCTGAGTGAGCTGTCATCAGTCCGCCATTGTGTCGACTCCGGTGCAGGGGAAGACAAGAACGTCTCAGATTAAACGATTGATGTGTTTTGTTGTTTGATGTAATAATGAATATAGCAGTCATCATTTACTCCCGACATCTGAGCCGCTGAAGACGCAGAGGATTAACATTACTTTCGTTTATTAAGGGAATGTGCCGATCCCCGATCTGCCTAAATGCGTTTAAGTTCATGCGAATCAAAACGATTGAAATAATTATATTTTTAAGGATTTACTATCAATATTTACTTATAAATCCTCTCCTGTCTGAGTATATTCTCACATAAAACCCTTTCAGACACCTGGAAGATGAAAGCCTTTTTATCGGTTTCTTTTCACTGTTTGATTTTTACCGTGTTATAGACTTTTCATTAAGACCCTAAAGAATCATATCAACTTGTGGAAAATGGCCATCCGATGACCCCTTTAATGATAATAGAAAAAAGAATGTTTTAAATAAATTAAATTGTTGAAAAGGAAAATAAACTCATTAAATATATGCACTATAAGTGTGTTTTATTTTTTCATGACATCCTAATTATTTATTGTATTTTTGAATTAATTTCCTAAATAAAGTTTGAATAACCCATGTTTTTATGACAGCCACTATTATATCATTTGAAAACTGAGACTTTCCTTTTTCATTGTGCATATACTAAAAATGTCTTGTCAAAATGACTCAAAATGATGTCGCAAGTCATTTAGAGACTATGGAAAAGTGGCAGAAACTGAGGGTCTGACTCTGACAAATCATTGGACTGGATTCTTGGTTGCCTTAATTTCAAATGTACCAGTTAATTGAAATATCTAGATTAACAAATCTGTGAACTTCTAAATTCTATTTGCAACATTTGCCTTGCAATCCACAGCCTTCTTTGCTTGCTCTAATGCCAGATTAACCAACCGATCTTTGTGCATGCCCTCACAGAGATTGCATGCTATATTAAACCCTTTAAACCTGACCCATAGAAGCAAACATGGTGTTGAGCAATCTGACCTTTGTGTCTCAGCAACTGCCATGTGCACATTTCTCTCCACTAAACCAAGGTTATCAAAAGTCCCGAAGCCTGGGCACCATAACCAGCAAGGCCCGAATGCTGGCCGAGGTGGTATCAATGTCCACCGGGTCCTGCGACCCACCTGTTCTCCTGCGGCGGTCCCATTCTCCAATCCCCTCCATTCTCTAAGAAATGGAGCAGTTAGTTAGAGCTGTCTCCCTGGGTCTTCCTCATACTCTGCTGCCTTCTGTTCTCTGCGCTGTTTGATTTGGTCTGGTCTGTCTTGTTTTCTGGAGCTGTGTTTTTGTCTCCTCCCCTCCTCCTTTTCCTCTTCCGTCCGTTTTGCTTGATTCTTGTCTTTACGTACCGACTCTCAACTCATACAAAGCCATCAGAGAGAAAGAAAACCTCCAAATGATCTCAGGGAAATTTTTAAGGATTTCCTAGTTACGAGTGTTTATCAGACACAATAAAAGACCTGGGATGAGAAAGGTAAACCTTTCTTTTAGAGCACACTGTTGTTGTTCCTGGAACCACTTCAGAACTGGAAAGACTTGCATCCTCCCTTCAAAAGCCAGCAAAAGGAGTTTTATAACCATAATACTAATGATAGTACCTGCAGTTACAGATGTAGTGGACTCTTACCTGTTCATTTTAGCATGAGCTGCATGGTGTTACACTAAAAAAAGAGGAAAAAATTATATGTCTGTTATGAATCTGTCTGTACAAAACAAATATTTTCTTTCAAGAGTTCTTGACTTTTGCAGAATTGACATGTAGCCATGGATAATGAGATGTTCAGAGACCATGTTCTTTATTTCAGCAACTGATTTCTTCATTCTGTCTTTGTTGTTAACCACATGACTCAGCTCTGGTCACATTGACCATCAATTCTGAATGAGACGATAGTGGTTACTGCCGTCAGATGGATTGTAAATTCCACTCTTCAACTTTGTTTCTGTCTGGCATGCTTGTGATTCTGGATCTTATAGAGAGAAAAAAACTGAGCAAAATGAGTTATTTTTCTGTTTTATGTCTTACTTATTGGTGAATAGATCCTGTGGAAACTGTCGTGAGCAACTGTTTATTTCACATATCAAGTGCAAACTTTTAACAGTGTTATTTTTGGAGAAAAAACATCAAAAAACGAGAAAAACCGCATCCTGTTGAGAAGTTTTACATTTTCTTTCATTACTTTTAGGTACTAAAACACAAAGAAAAGCAAAAAAGACTAATGTATATTTACACTATAAGAGAATTGTATGCAATTTAGCTAACTTTGGGGAAAAACAAATGCATGCACTATGTTATGCAACAATAACTGCATAGAAAAACAGGAAAACATGACTACAACCATAGCATGAAATAAATTTTCTATGAAACCTGTTAGAGGGCTTGGGTTTTTTATTTATTTATTTATTTTTCATTGATTGCAGTGGAATGTTTGTTTTATTTCTGTTTCTCTCATTGGACGATGTACCAATACTCTCTTTGACCTGAAGTCGACAGGCACAAAGAGCTGAATTGGAAGGTCTTTGATGCGAGTGAAAAGAAAAAGAAAACATGTCTCCAGGTGGAGCAGCATGGCAGACTGCACTGATGAGCATGGTGATGAATTAAACCATTAACATTTGAAGGAAACAGTGAAACACCTGCATGCTGTGAACGAGCTGAAGTTTTGAACAAGCGGTGTCAACATATGCTCAATGAGGTATGATGCTAAAGCCTGCCTTATATGCCTGCTAAACGTGCTTGCTAGCAGACCGCATTATCGTCACCTTCTGCTCTCCTTTCATCCCTTCCTCCTACTCCTCCTGACCCCTTCCATGTCTCCTCTGTGCTGGCTCGCACGTCATCCCGCACCCTCTTCACCCGTCTTTGTTCTCTAGGTGTCTGGGTAATAACTCGTCTGTTGTCTCTCTTCTTTTTCATGTCTGTAGAGGCTTCTCGGCAGGGCCGGCACAAACCGCCTGCAGACTCTGTGTGTGTCATGAATCGTGGTGTTCCAACCACTGTGTGCATGGCCCAGAACACCCCTCCCACTTCTTGATAACGCTCTAGAAGTCTGTTTGTTGTACACGAATGGGTGGAAGACCCCATTCTACACATTTAAATGTATTTCAAAGGGACTTTTTTTGTCGGTGGCTGATAGTACTGTCAACTTGTAGTGTTGTGTAAAATGTGTATTTGAATGCATGCGTGTTAAATATGTGTGTGTTTTTGTACGCGTGTCTGTACTGTAAATATGCTTTTCGTGTTGCCCACGCTTGCGACTGAATATTTAGAGTATCTAGTGTAATCTTTACAGGGTTATCAGGTCAAACGTATCCAATAACTTTTAGCTCTTTTTGTGAATCAGAACAAATATTCACAAAGCTGCCTTTAAATTAGAATGGGCTCAAACTAATGATGTTGTTCTTTGTTGTGCTGCTGCTATAAGTCATCAGTTGCCTTTGTTTGCTGTTTGCACTTTTACAGTAAACTTTTACATTCCGGGGCTCAACAATAAGAATTCTTTGAATGTACATGAATTCATTTCCTTACATCAAAATTGACAACAAGTACATTATTAGGTTTTTACAAGTTTTATTAAAGGGTTTGAAATTATATCATTGTTTACTCCACCTTATCTTGTTCCAAACTGGTGGCGTGATTTCTTCCTATGGAACATGAAAGAAGATATTTTCAAGAATGTTCATTTCTCATTGACTTCCATTGAATATTTTGTCCATACAGTGGTAGTCAATGGGAAACTGGTTTCTAATATTCTTCATAATATGTTCTTTTATGTTCTGCTGAAGAAAGAAATGCATACAGGTTTTGAACAACATTGAGGGTGAGTAAGTTGTGACAGAATGTTCATTTTTGTGTGGATCAGTTTTTAAAGAAATTTCACAGCAAGTTAGTAAGACAAATAACCTTGATCTTGGTGGCCTTTTTCAGCAGATTTTGCAGACCTTGCAAACATTTTTTATGTATTTCTGTATATAGAGATCAATAAACATAGTGACAATATAGCCCTGGTCTGACTGATCATCTGACAACTGAGCCAAACCCCTGAACCCTTATTGTTGAGCCCTGTATTTGCTTAGTTTATAAATGTTAGTGGACAAATTGTATGTATTTATAATGTTCTTAATTCCATTCTAACTCTTTCTTTCCTTGAACCCAGCAAGGACATCAGTATACTCCAGTGAAAGCAAGTGGTTATTTAAATGAGTGAGATTTTAAACTTTTTAAACAGAAAGTGTGTCAAACACACATTGATGTGTTCTTTTAGAATCATACAGTAAAAACTGACATCAGTATATCTATATCCAGTTAGTTTGAAGTAAACTCACTGCCAATTGAATGGAATTTTTTAGTCAATGGGAAACTGGTTTCTAATATTCTTCATAATATGTTCTTTTATGTTCTGCTGAAGAAAGAAATGCATACAGGTTTTGAACAACATTGAGGGTGAGTAAGTTGTGACAGAATGTTCATTTTTGTGTGGATCAGTTTTTAAAGAAATTTCACAGCAAGTTAGTAAGACAAATAACCTTGATCTTGGTGGCCTTTTTCAGCAGATTTTGCAGACCTTGCAAACATTTTTTATGTATTTCTGTATATAGAGATCAATAAACATAGTGACAATATAGCCCTGGTCTGACTGATCATCTGACAACTGAGCCAAACCCCTGAACCCTTATTGTTGAGCCCTGTATTTGCTTAGTTTATAAATGTTAGTGGACAAATTGTATGTATTTATAATGTTCTTAATTCCATTCTAACTCTTTCTTTCCTTGAACCCAGCAAGGACATCAGTATACTCCAGTGAAAGCAAGTGGTTATTTAAATGAGTGAGATTTTAAACTTTTTAAACAGAAAGTGTGTCAAACACACATTGATGTGTTCTTTTAGAATCATACAGTAAACACTGACATCAGTATATCTATATCCAGTTAGTTTGAAGTAAACTCACTGCCAATTGAATGGAATTTTTTTAAATCTACAGGTGAAGAAACCAGATTAAGAAGTAACAATACTTCCTAAGAAGCTTTGTTGCAAATGTTGTGTTGAATGAGACTTTAATTCTCTCAAATAGATTCCAAAATAGATATTACTATAACAGTACATTTAATACAATCAAACATTTTCAGAAATAAAAAACATCTGCCTTTTTATTAATTAATGTATTTTGTACATTATAGCACAAGGCTACAATTCTCTAGATTGAGTGGTTCACTTTAAAACGAAGAGAAGCTCACAGATAAATGTCTTTATATTTCAAAGGGGTCATGAACTGAGAAACCAAAATTCCCTTCCTCTTTTCACATATAAGAGATCATTGTACTATAAAAACATCCTGTAAGTTTCAAAACTCAAAACTCTCTTGTTAAAAAAACAGCTTATATTGAAGCCAGTCTGCCAAAACGACAGCTTGTGGAATGTACAACTATGATGCAATAGTGTGGATAAGCACCGCCTCCGCAGAAGATCTTCTGCTTCTACAGTGCTGACTGTTTAGCCCCGCCCACCGATTCGCTCATGTAGTGTTTATGACAGAGGTGAACGCGCAGATCTACACAGAAACCAAACAATAAAGATGTTCCAAACACAACAAGAGGCCAAGTTGTGGAAAAAACAGTCTTTGTATTGCATTCCTTCTCATCCCAACATTAGGAAAGAGTGGATGAACTTTATTTTTAATTAAGTTTTAGACCGCGTCAATAAGAAATTGGTCGTTTGTTCACTTCATTTTACCGTGGATTCATTTACAAACAAGGCGCAATTTGACACGGGATTTTCAAAAAGATCGAAACTAAAAGACGATGCTGTGCCGACTTTATTGGATCTGACAGCAAATGTCACAACACAAGTGTGAGTAACTGTTTTTATTACGTGTCACTATTGTTTCGTCTGTTATTACCGTAGACTGTATAAAAACATGGACGTAGTGTCCGTGACGTCACCCGTAGGTTTCTGAAGAGCGGTTTTGAAGCTCAAAAGTGGGCGGAGCCGGCCATCGCCATCTTGGCAACACGTCACCGCGCGTCACTCCCGGATAATCGAAAATGGGCAAAGAGGCGGGAGCAGGTTGCTGAAGCCACGCCCACCTAGCTCGACGCCGGTGACAGCAGCGACAATCCACCTGTCACTCAAGTGGCCACGCCCTTAATTATGCAGAACTTTAAGGCTTAATATAATTTAAACGGATGAGTTATAAAATTCACCACCCTCACAGTTGTCATGAAGGGCAAAAAGTTGGGCATTTTAACATGGGGAGTCTATGGGACTGACTCCCATTTGGAGCCAGCCTCTAGCGGCCAGACGATGAATTGCACTTCCGTGTTGGCTTTACGAGAGAGACCGGAAGGTTGCCGCTTGGTTATTACAGATCATTTGATATGTACTGAGTATTTATGCGGTTTTAACCTAAATCACAGCAGCGTCCATAATTGAAGGATGTAGGCTGTCAAACATACACAACTATTGGCCAATCATAACAGTGGGCGTTTACTTCCGAGTCTACAATCTGCCAGGCCTATTCAAATAGATGAGGGGCGTCAAAAACAGGACAGAGAATAGCCTATAACGTCTAAATTATGATGTTTTTGATGTAAATATCTTAACATTATAAGTGGACCTCAGAGAACAGTGCAAAATAAAAAAAACAGAGGCAGTTCATGACCCTTTTAAGAACCAGGGTTGAACCTAAATCTGTCACCAAGCATTTATATGTTTGTAAATATTACAGTAATATTACCTATATTATACTATGTAGCTAAATTTAGCAAGGTTATTCTTAGGTCAATTTTCCTCCCATCCTTAGGTAGCTACTGTACAATCCGCATTTGTTAGGTGGATTTAGAGATGCTATTACTGAATGCAAACTGCATGATGTTGATAGTAAATATACCTCAGTTCCACGTGTGCATTTGAAAAAGTCAAATAAGTCTTTTATGAAAATAAACTATATAGGCATGATTCCAGTTACACAATGAGCTAAATATAACTGAATTATGTTGAGAGGATGCTTCAAAGGCTCTTTTATTGCTTCTAACAGATTACCAGTTTGGTTGCTAATTGATATCAGCTTGTCAGAAAGGCTGCGTTTCAAATGAACTCTCTATAACCTACTATTTATTTAACCAACTAAATGTTTTAGGTGGACTTCTAAGGATTTCAGTAAAGGCAAATTAAGTTTAAGAAAAATAAATGAACCATTTGAATAACTTTGTTGTATTTGTCCTTTTATATACTGTATATCTTTGAGACTTTGCATGTCTGTCGTATATGTCTAAACACATCCCAAAATGTGTCAAATGAAATGTTCCCAAGATTTTATTTATGATTTTGTCTTTTTTATATCCATATTGACTGACAGGAAGCTAAATGCACGTGTGGCCCTGTGTGAGCGTGTGTCCGGGTGCAAGGGTCTGTCTTTAGTGCATGTACCCCCAGTTCTTTGCTCTGCTGCTGAGCTTTGATCTTTTCAGACACTATGGCAACCTAGTTACCTAATAGGGACCGTAGCCATAGCAACACAAGTATGTGATCTGCTTTCAAGGGCAGCCCATTTCTTCCATGCCTCCCTGCTGCCTGGTTACATTTGTACATGCTATTTGGGTCCGCGATTCATCAGACATGTTCACACATCAGAACACAAAGTTCTTCACATAATTATCACTGATGCTATTCTATGTCAGTAACGGTATCATTACAGTCTGTTGCATCTGCCTACATAGATCTAATGCTGTTCATGAGGTACATAAACAAAACTAGTCCTAGTGGGTAATTGGGGTATTTTCAGTGATAATTACCTCGCCAGTAATTACATACCCGTGTTTATGTGTGTGCATGAAATCTCAAACCTGGTTATTCACCTTCTCCAATTGTGGTTATCATAAATTACCATCTGACATACCCTGACACACAAGAGACCGAAACCTGTAAAATTCTGGAGGCTGGCCGGAGTTGAGGTAAGGAGACAATGACATATAGTAACACTTCTGACTGTAGAGCACTGCATCAATGGGGTTTAACCTGCAGGAACAGCAAAGCCTCTATGGCAGCACTGCCTAGTGCCCAACCAGAGCCACACCATCAAAAAACATCATGTAAGACATAACATTTGGATAAAAGCTTGGAAATCATTATGAAGAGATTAATAAAATGTAAAAAATATGAATGCTTTAATTGTCACTTAATGGATTAGCATTTTAGAGTTCAAGGAATACATATTCATTTCCAGTCAGATTTTTCATGCAGATATACAAAACCTTGTCATTTTTATTAAACGGTGTGTGTGCGCAAACAATTATAGTAATACCAGTAATTTAGTCATTTTTAACCTTGTGGGACAATTTTTTTTTGGTCCCCATGAGAAAAACCACTTATACAGAACACCTTTTAAAAAAATTTTTTTGTGGAAAATCTAAAAATGCTTTCTGTTAGGGCTATGGTTAGAGAATAGAATATACAGTTTGTACAGTATAAAATGTATTATGTCTATGGGAAGCCCTCATAAAATGTGGAAACCAGTGTGTGTGTGTGCACACATATGGAGGTTTTCATATGAAAGAAAA